AAATGTTTTCTAAAGGCCCCGGGAAATTCCGTTCGCCTAAAACACACAAGAAACAATAAAAAGCCACAACTTATCCCACACCAGTGTCAGGAATTTCGCCTACGCAGGCTGCCACAGCCCACCGACGAAAAAACCCACAGCCCAACGCAGTCGGCCAACACTGACGTACGATCTCAAAACCGGAGACCCGCACTCTAAATCGCCTGGCTCAAAACTGCCACCGGAAAGGTGTATAGAAACTTTGAGAATCTATTGGGGGTTATAATTCTGTCGACTGTTTAAAAACAGTTACAAGTGTCCATCCTTTGGATCTGCGCACTGAACTTATTTCATCCAGTGGAAAACTAGCAACGTGTAATCTCACCTCGTGTTTGCAGCCCAAGCGAGTGCCTGATCATAAGTTTGCTGGCGCTTTGGTGCATCGGCCAGAGCGGCTTCGGCCAGGCGTGGCTGTCAGAGGATCACCGGATACTGGCGTGAGTCCAAATAATTTAAAAAAAACATTGATTTTTTTTTTTAAAGCATGAAATACTCAATTGTGCATTGCCCGCTAAATTTAGCCAGAAGCTTGGCATCACGAGACCTATGCACGAATTTAATTTTTAAGCTAAATTTAGCGAGAAAATTAATGCCACGTGACCTGAAGTCATGGGACACGCATGCAAATTCAGTTTCCCCGCTAAATTTAGAGGAAAACTGATGTCAAGTGACCTAAACACAAATTCAGTTTCCCCGCTAAAGTTTTGCGGGAAAGTGGCATCATGTTGCGCCACCTGACGTCACCTAATGAATACAGCTTGGGGAAAATTGACGGCACGCGATTTAAACGTCTTCTCAGTTTCCCCGCTAAATTTAGAGGGAAAATTTCCGTCTTTACCACTAAATTTAGCGGGAAAACTCTACGTCCCGTGATCTGACGTCTGTGACCTGTTACCTGTACAATCCTTCAGTTTCCCCCATAAATTTAGCGGGAGAATTTACATCACGTGAAACACCAATTCTCTCAACAATTTCCCATAATGCATTTCATGCTTCGTAGGACTTTCAAGGTAAAGGTCGCTGCCATTTTGTTTTTCGTTGCTCTTTATTGATTAAAGGGTTCACAAATTAGTTCTTGGATTTCACTTGGCAGCGCATAGAACTGAACGATGAGGTGCGTTAAGATAGAAAATTCGCTTGTATTTTCCCGCCTCGATTCTTTTTGTATCTATACACCCCGGCATTCTCACCTTGACCGGGAGGGGAGAGGGGGGCTCGTGTGTTTTGATTACACTCTTCTGGTCAACTGCACCCCACAGGCGAAAATGCAATACAGTACTATCTTCACTCACATATTCCTTCAATGTAATACTCATAAAGCCCATATGACCCAATGGTGGCTTGTACGTGAGACGCGACTGCACTTCTGCTTTTTTATTGCTCAATCAACGCAAACACCAATGCACGATAATTTTACTTTAGATGGCTGCATTTTCCGACAACTTGCTCCTTTGTAGCAATCTATAAATTTTATTACTTTAAGGAAAGAATTCCTGGTACAATAAGATGTCATTACTATTGGCACATGTAAATTTCTGTAATTAAAATTTTACAAGAGGAAGTCTAACTGTGAGAAAAAGAGAGCCTTTATGTTTACTTCAACGGGGGTATTTATTTTTATTTCAATCGTATTTTATGGTAGGATTTGTTTATTCAAATTATCCAGTTCTAGTTAGCCTTCTTAATTTGTGAGTTTTAACTATAAGTAGCTCACCTGATAGGTTGTTAAAAACTTAGGGGCGATTTTTTTCTTTCTAGGTTATACCGCGCTGGTAGATCAACGTAGTGCATCAACGGTTCTGCCTGTTGTACTTTCCCAGCTATGCAGAGTCACACACCGCCCGGCCTACTTCAATAATTGTGCTTCTTAAAGAGACGATGCAACGAGTTTTGTACTTTCCGCAAATACCGCTTAGAACGGATTCCTGACGTTAATGACCTGTAAGACACCAGTTCGTCTTTCACCACACGCAATCCTAGTCGCAGAAACAATTAAAAACAAAAAAAAAAAACTAGGAGAGTCCACCCCCTCAACTCGCATCCAGAACAAGCGGTCACGTGATCTGGAGCCGAATATATGCCGCCAATGTTGATCATAACCAGGCGCTGGGGTCGGCAAGGCACAGGACACGCGCTGAGTTCCAGACATTGTTATGGCTCGGCTATTGTCGTCGTTGCAGCAATTGGACACGGGCCACTACCCGAATGCTTCTCGAGCTAGTAATTATCACGAGCCCAAATCGAGTTCGTACGCAATGCTCGGGTACAATCTATGAACCGCATTCAAATATCGTCACTTGGGTGTACTGCGATCCCCACGTTACGTCATCAAAATTTGAAAAAGAGAGATTGAATGAAAATGATCGATTTTCTCCTCGAAATTACACCGCAACAAAGGAGTTTCTTGGCCAGTGGCGTTGCCTGCGAGTGTCCTTGAGTCCCACTAGTCCCAGTAAGCTCGTGTAAACCGAAAAACATTCAAACTGAATATCGTTGCACCGCTCCTTTAAAGGGGCACTCAAGGACGTTTTGTAGAAGCTTGTTTTGAATGACATATCAATTTTTGGGCTTAACTAAATAAAAATGACCAGTTCTAGATGACGAGACTTCCAGTACACTCACAAAATAGAAATACAGGAGCACTATTTTCTCTTGGCGGAGGGTGGGGGGGGGGGGGGGGGGGGGGGGGGGCATCTGCGGTCTCTATTACCTCCATCAGGCTCGTTGTGCATTATATTTTTACAAAAACGTCAAAACGTCAGCTACACAAGAAAATTCATGCAGCAATTATTATTTTAATGTCATTCGACTGCGCCCCCACGTGTATACTCTAACGAGCATCAAGAGGGGCGTGTAACGATCTTCGAGTATAATTTAATAAGGAAATCGGCCACCCATGAGTGAAATCTCGGGTTTTTTTAGGGTGCTATCCCGTAGATTGAGTTATCACCAAAAACAGACAATCTCCGAATCCACTTGATTGCCCTTTAAATCTAGTGAAGAGAAGTTTAATGTTACACATGCGCCTGCGAGCTGCGGTGGCTTCGGGTGTTATAGGAGAAAGCTCTCGCGCAGCACGAGCAGCCAATCGTGATCTATGGCTGCGTTTACATGGATGCAAACGGAGAGTATCGAATCGAGATTTGACTGTTTCAACTGATAGTAGATGGTTAGAAGAGGAAGGAGTAGAGACAGGGTACGTGTGGTTGGTCCCTGTCCGATTCGATAGCCGATGATCGCATTCATGCAAACCCCGCATGTAGATAGCTTCTACTGTATATATATATATATATATATATATATATATATATATATATATATATATATATATATATATATATACACACACGTACATACATAAAAGAAACCTACCGAAATAAATGTGTAGCGGCACGCTACAGACACCAGCGAGAGAGAATATCATCACCTGCATGGAGAAGCTCGAGAAAACTCTGCCATGGGCTGCGTACTCTACATTCTACAACCGATAATTCCTTTGGCAATTTTGTAAATAGTGTAAATAATAGAAAACGGGAGACCTCCTTGCTACAAACTACCCCCCCCCCCCCCCCCCCCCCCCCCCATTTTAGCGAGGATGTCCGGGAAACGAGCGTTCAGGAGTTCCTTTGAATTGTACGCGTCGTACTGTGGTTGGAGTTGTGTGTGCTTGGACTGGCTCGAGACGTGCGAAATTTAGTCTGTCGAGTAAACTTGTGTCTTCACGTCCTTCGACGAGTACAGTGAAGTACTTGTCACTTCGTTCTAAAACTTTAAATGGTCCTTCATATGGATTCTGCAGTGATCCCTTCACGGCGTCTGCGCGCATGAACACGTCGAGCTAGCGTGACACTTCCAGGCTGAGGAAACACTTGCGAGAGTTGCGCTGTCGTGTTGGCGCAAGTCGTAGTTCCTCGAATGAGAAACTTAGACGGCTTGCGTAGTCCTCCGCTGTGGTGGTTTCATTTTGGAGGAAAGGTGTTAGGGGATCACTAGAATGCGCAGAGGCATGCCGTACAAATCCATAGCAAACTGCTGGGCACTTTTGTTGCAGGTGAAATGTCACGGTATCTCGCTACTTCGGTGAGGCTCGGCTCGTTCAGCGCGTTCGGTCCTGGCTGTTGTGCGTGAACCTTCTTGGCCGTGTGTGTCTTATTCGACAATGCTTCTTGCGGTCGGGTCTTCGGACATTGGTTGTGGTCGTTTAGCATCCCGCCTGGTCCTTTGAGCTCGTCGTCTTCGTTCAGTCATATTCTTTTGGGACTGGCACCTACGGTCTCTGTGTTCTTCATCAGTCACTTCGGCTTTTAACTTAACGCGTGGAATGTACGTACACTTGATAACACTTCCTGGAATGAAGATACCAAGAATATTCGTTGTTTAAAAAAAAAAAAATCAACCAACCAGCGGCGAGTTTACGTGTGACGCCATACGTGACGTTATGCTGGGCTCAGCCGATTAGCATCAAGATAATCGGCGGCTTTACAAAGTTTTTGGACCCCCCCCCCCCTTTTTTTTCCCTCAAAAGAGACAACGGACGTCTCACGTATCTTAAAGAACCATATTATTTGCGACGCGTCGTTGCTTTTACCGGAGTTCAATATTTCTTGATTGGTTCTTGGTTGCCTAGATACGGTGCGATATTGTGATATTATCATTAATAGACCATATAACGCGCCACACCCTCTTGCTGCCAGTCAGCGTGAGTACATCGGTGTAACCTTGGAGATTATGAGTGCTTAGCGTACGCACAGGTAGTAAAGAAATGGTCGAGTTCGTTATCTTTATTCCTGAAGCATTTACAGTAAGCCCTCTGCAATGCTGTTGAGAATTATTAAAATTGAAGCAAGGCGTCGTAGGGTGTGCGCTTGCTGCTCAGCCACTGTATCAAAAAAGGTTACCACTCCTTCCGACCATTACATCTGTCCGTGAATTTGGGGTGCCTACCTGGCGACCAGGCCTTCCATCGGGAATCTGGCTGGGAACCTCCTGTTCATCGTCATTTTTGCCATGCCCGACCTGAAGGGACTCCAGACCGGGATGGTCGAGTGGAGGGTCGTAATCGCCAACATGCCTTGGGCGGTGCTCTTGGTCTACGGGGGAGTGCAGTGCATGGCTGCTGCCTTCAAGGTGGGCGAACCTCAGTGTTTCTTTATTACTTTGTTTATAGGTAAAACGAAAAAAGAAAGAGTTCATGTTTTCAATAAAAAATAAAAAAGGAAACTATACTCACCGGCGCTTAAGACAAAGAGAGTGTCGCTTATTATGTTTACGTTCCTTGCTTTGTGGCTCTTCTTTCCGCGCCCTTATAGCCAAATGCTGCATTCTCATTCGCTGGGGAGCAATAATGAGGTGCTCGTAACTTGCCACGCCCTGCATTTCTTAAAGAGCCACTGACAACCCCAAACATCGACCTACTTTTTTAACCTTCTCAATTGTATCCAGTAATAAAGGACACACGAAACAGTAATCGCGAAGGAAAAAATAAAATTGGCGCACGAAAGAGCTAACTAAAGTTTGTGTCCTTCTCCCCCCATTTGACATGCTCGTCGCTGCTTTGATTGGGCACGTAATTGGCGAAGGCGCTTCTAAAGCGTTAGGAAGTGGCGCAAGCTGCATGTCTGTAACAATTATTATTTCACCTATTGAATGCGTTTTCGAACGACAGTTTAAAGGCACTGGTACTGGCTTCAAAAAATAAAAATCAGAGACCAGAAGTTTTAATAAGGAAATATCGGCCGTCTCCTAGCTTTTCTTCGTACTTTCAACATGGCGGCACCCGGCGGCTGTGCAGGGGGCGTTGGTAGGGGTGCGCGCGAAGGGGAGGTCGAAGGCAACTCGGACAAGTTTTTGTTCTTTTTTTTGGTTCCGAATGATATTTTTTAATAACCTCTCATCCCGCACCTTTGCGACGTCACCCCTGACGCCGACCACCAAGGGCTGCTACACGTCATTTTCTTTCTTGCCTTTTTTAGAAATCGTTTTAGACCGCAGTTCTCAAGTTTGATGTATTTAGGGCGGATTCCGAAAGACATTTTCAATCTCTGCAATATTCAAAAGAAAAAAAAAATGTTCATGTTGGTGTTGTCAGGGGCCCTTTTAGCTGTCAGTGGCTCTACAGTTTTAATTGAGTAATAGACGTGCTTTCTATTAATAAAGGTCGGCCCCCACGTCTACTAATCTGAAGACGTAGGAAACAAAATCTAGAAAGCAAAACTTTCAAAAACATTTGATGGACGTTGAGTGTATTTTGTGTTAGGACAAACAGGGCACACCAAAACCCTTTACGCCCTTATAGGCCGACGTATAACCTCGGTTTTCTGCAGGGAAGATAATCCTCTTAGCGCTCCGCTCTCCTAAGCTGCGAGGGAGAGCCATGTTGGTGCAAGGTAAAACGTGGAGATTATATAGGAATAAAGGTGGCGGACAAAAGTGGAAAGCGCGAAGTGTACGTCGGGCTTCAAGAGTGTAAGCAAGACTGTCGGAGGGCTAATACTCCTAGGCTATTAGAGCAACAGCCTTAGGATAACGATTACAATCCCTGCAGATAGAGAACAAGGGGACCAAAAATAAACAAAAATCTCCGAACACAACTAGGTGTTCAGAAGCGTTTTCTCTACTAACGTCTAACTCCTGGTTAACTCAGCTGGTAGAGCACTCTACTGGAAATGGAGACGTCCCTGGTTATTGGTGAAGGTGTTAGACGTTTTCAGTCGCACACCAGTCACCTAGCGCTGTTTAAAGATTTGTGTTTGTCCTTTGCCCCCTTTCTTCCCCTTCTCCAGGGATTATTACCAATATTCTTGTCCAGCTCGCTTGCACCTTTACATTATTTGCATTATATTCATAGCCATAGGACGCTTGCGAACACCCTAAAAGTAGCGTTTTGATCCTCTTAGCAGAATCCTAGAGAATTGTTTTTATATGCAACGAGTTTACAAGAAACGCGCTCACATGCAGTTGCACATGCACAGAAATAACATTTACAGACGAGTACACATAAAACCCGAATCACAATTGTGTTGTCTCCTTCATGGCCTTATAAACTGGAGATTTTAAAGATACTCATTCGCAGGTGATCGTCTCCGCAGCTACAAAGCATGCGGCTTTCCTCTCGTCTTACCTCGAAATTCAGGAATACTCCATTGTGTAGAGCAGCGCCTTTCCTTTCGCAAGAACGCGCATTCACGAATCATGAATAGGGGTTTGACTCCTACACCGTGTCCCTGATAGCTTGTTTGTCGGCGTGGCGCGCTTCGACAGGTGTCGGGGCTGGCTGCCACCATCTCGGACCTGGTGCTCGAGCTGCAGTCTGCGGACCCGACCATCAGTCAGCTGATCCTGACGCTGATGGCCTCTGTGCTTACCGAGGTCATGGACGACACCGGCACCTGCGGAATCCTCGTGCCCCCTTCAGCACGCCTGGTAAGAAACGATCGTACGCGCAATGAGACGAGGCCCAGGAGACTCTGTATCCTCTGGTCGGTTCACTTTCTTCCTGTGTGTCGCGGACATCCTCTGCTCCGTCTTTCATGCGTTTTGATAAGCGAGGGGTTTTCTCAAATGAAGAATTGCATAGGGCGGTGAGAGTTTAATATCCGAGGTACGAAAGGAGCATTTGCATTGGTAGAAAGCACCAAAAACTGGAACCCACTAGATTTTCCGCGAAGCAGCAAGTAGAACGACTGTAATTTAATTGTTAAACCACTGAATATTACTTTATTACTTTATTTTATTAAAAAGCAAGCTGCTCTTCTTATCAAATTGTACTTAAAAATAGGCACCAATTTGTTAATATCCACAATCACTCCTCTGATATTAATCCACTTAAATCTGGAGGGCCACAAAGCAGCTTACTAGAACCGTTACTCTTTAATATAAAGTATATCAATTGTATTGTTAACGTTGCACAGTAAGTACTCTACATAATTTACTCACATTTACCAGCCTATTTTTCTCAGTTGCATCTTGTAATGATATCTCGCATGTAGCTAATGACACCATAAAAGATCTTGAAATGTGGACTAGTGCTAATACTCTCAACATAAAAAAAAATTAAACCAAAGCTTAATTCTTGCGTTCCAGAAATAGGAGTATAACCTTCCAATTGACATTCCTCACCTACTGATATAGTTATTAGGTTTAAAACTTTGGTGGTGATCTTCGCTAAGAACATGACTTCAACTGAACATATGTGGAATATGTAATTTCTAAACTGGCGTGTATCAGTTGCACATTACACAAACATCCCCATGTACTTTGAATTGGAGTTAGGATGATTTTAAATAACTTTTTTTTTATTCCATCTGAACTGGTGTAATTTAGTCTGGGTTGCCAAAACCAAAAGTAATCTTTAAAAGCTAATCTTACTACAGAAAAAGAGGCATAAGAATCGTAAGTACTTTGTGTAAAGTATAAACTGGAATGTCTTCAGATTTATAGCTTCTTTATTATTTTGGCATCCCTTAGAAGGCATCCTATAATAGGGCTCCGTGTATTCGGAGTTTATTTTTCGTCAAATTCGGAGGGTGTTTTTCGAAGTTTATTTTTTGCCAAAGATTCGGAGTTTATCGGAGTTTATAATTTTTGATTCCCAATTCTATGAAATTCGGAATTTAATTTCGCTTTATTTTCTGTTAAAAATAAATAAATAAATAAATAAATAATAACCGAGTGTAAACCTATGCCAGATAAAAATAAAACGCGCTTGTATCAATTGAGATATCTTCAGTTCAATTTGGCGTTTGTGCCGTTTCCATTGGCATTAATAATTTATCCACAACAAAAGTCACACAAAAGTGGCGCTTTGATAAACGCCGATAACTTAAAATCAATAAACTCCTGGAGTGTAGTGGCTAGAAAGCTCGTAGTCACCCCATCATATTCCATCAATCTAGCCCGCGGCCGCGCGAGGTGGAGTGGTTAAGGAGGTAATAGAGAGTTTGAACTGCCCCTCTTCCCAATTTTATACAATCGCTATGGTCCATAGCTTTCACTGCTACTAAAACATACCATTTCCTTTCTCTAAATCACAAATCGCATGGCCCAAACTAGAAACCAAAAGAGTGCCGTTTGTCGTGACCCGAATATACAACGAACGACCTGTTGCCCTGAATCAACCCTGAAGAGACAAGCGGCAATACCCCTACTGACAACGGTCGGAGATTTGCAAGATAATGATGGTGGAATTTTTCCAGGACCATTGGCACTGTGCTAATCAAACTGTAAAAAAAATATATATATATTACTTTATTTTTTTTGCGGGGGGGGGGGGGGGGGGGGGATGGCATTGACACATAAATAAGCGGAGTTTATCGGATAAATCCGAATTGACCGAAAATTTACCGGCAGGTGCTTTTCGGAGTTTTTCGGATTTATCCGAAAACACGGAGCCCTACCTATAACATAAACCAAGGGGATAGCGCTTCACTCTGCCGCGTCACGAGGAAGCTGCCACTGGTGGCGCTGCCAACCTCTGGTCAATGGGATGAGCCGGCGGGAGCCGGGGTGGAGCACCGCAGAGCTGTATATGGGGAGAGTTTGGTCAGTCTATGATCTCGCCGCCGTAACGCTCTCCTCCCAAGTGAGCCAATCAGCACGCGGCGTAGAGCGAGAGGCATGAGCGCATGCGCGTGAACTCCCGGCTGCTCCCACCTGAGTGGGGAGGGCCGCCATCTTCAATCATTCACCCGGCGGAATGCGTGGGATCGGCATCTAAATCTCGATTATTGCCTTTTATATCACTGGCTCTGGCAAGAAAATTACATTCTGTTATTTCTCGGTGGGTTAAAAAGCTAATAAATGAAGATTTTTCGGCGTATGGCCACAAACTTTTATTCAGGCGAAAATAAGTCGGCCCGTAGCAGACGACGCGTAGCCTCAGCAGTGCTCTTTTCTGACCAGTCTCCGACAGCGTTGCTAAAAAATGGCGGTCGTCTTCTCTCTGCCGCCTTCTTTCCCTCTCGCTCCTTCGGCGCTCTCCTCCCTTTCATTTACTTTTTTCCTCTCCGGCGCCTTCGTAGCCACACCCACTGGCCAAACTCTCCCAATATACGGCTCTGGAGCACCGAAAGCAGCGGCGCCGCCATCGCCGCAGTTTTCCCCTCGTGGTGAACTTCCGATGTAAGAATGAGCTGGGATGACCTTGAAATATTCGCGTAGCGCGGAGCAGGATTTTTTTTTTAAATTCTGGATGAGGCTGAAAGTACACGAACTGATAATTTTAAGAGATTGGTGAAAATAGGGAGTTTCAAGGAACTAAGTGCGTTTACTGAGCCAAAAAGGGGACATTATCGAGAAAGGTTTTCTGAAATATGAGGCAAAATTGCGAGCATGGGGTGCGCGTTCTGGGTTAGGGTCGAAGTTCTCACGAAGACACGTCCACGGTTTTAACCGGTCTCTCAGCCATTGTCACGGCTGCGACTGCAATTAAAAAAGTGATGGGGTGCATTATGAATGTCGCTTTGATGTCAACGTCCCTTGCGTTGCCCTTTCAGCTGGAAAGAGTCGCCAATTTTAGCGTGATGAAAAAAAATATTTCAATACATCCTCAGCCAGCGATTGTGATTGGACGGTATTTGTTAAGCTCATTGCCTTCGTTAGGGGAATATTTGTGGCTAGGGGTTAGTCACAAGAGCTGTCAATCATTGTACCCAAGGTAATTGAAACAATTTCGGCCAATGACAAGCCATTATTTTCACCTTATTCTTATCAATTAATGACCAAACTCTACATATACGGCTCTGTGCCCAGATTGAGCGGCGCGCCGTCTATAGGTGCCGCACTCTACCAATATGACTCTAACCACTCCAAGATTATTAAGAGGGGTATAGCCACTTGCTTGAACGCGTCCTTATCGAAGTCCTGCCCGCACAAGGTAGCCAATAGCTTCTGGTTACAGGTCAGGAAACTTTGTGAGGGGGCTTCCCCTTTGAGCTCATTGGGGGATTGGTAGAGGAGGGAAGCGGAGGGAGAGGGCCAAGCCAGCTAAGAGACCAGTAAGGATTCCGTATATACATAATGCTCTTCATAGCATAAAAAAAGGTGGGGGAAAAGCATGGCACTTTGGTTCTCCTCTCAGCTTCAAGACAATTAAGCAAGCTATGCGGAAGGGTGGAACGGGGAGAAACACAAGTAAATATGTATAAAAAGAAAAAAAAAAACACGCGACAAAGTATGAACATGATTGTAAACCTGAGACTGGGGCAGAAAGAGACAAAGTATGCGGGCTGCAAAGTGGGGATTGTGTACAGAATCCCTCTGTCTTGTGGGAGGGTGTACGTGGGGCAGTTGGGGAGATGCGTGAGCGAAAGGCTGAGGGAGCATACCCTGTCATTGACGTCAGCCCCCTCTGGTAATCTAACAGTGCATTGTAGTAGGTGTGAATGCATACTTTATTTCGACAACACCCTTATGTTGGCACGAAACAAGAATAAGAATACAAGGGAGATAGCGGAAGTGTTTTTTTTTTTTTATTTCAGATTGTGACAAGGATAATTGTGTTAGTGCCCCCTCAGTGACCCTGTATGAATCGGAGCTACCGTATTTACGCTCAAGCACAATGTGAAAGCGGAAAATAGGATGTGTGGCGATTGGGAGTGAATGGAATGTGTGTCTTGCCGGTTTCGCAGTGGGTGTGTTTTTCTAAAGATTTCACCACTTGTAAGTGGCGCTCTGTGGTGTGCGTCTCTTCTACTCGTCCGTCGTTTTTTAGCGCTTTTAACCCCTAAAACATGTTCACCCAACTAGCCCAAATTCAAACCCGTTTACCAATATTCACAAAAAAACGTACTAAACGTAGGGCGTATCGAGTAACGTGCATCTAATTAACGCTTCCTAGCCAACCAGACTGAGGCACCAGCCGATAAGAAAGCCGATGGACAAATCACGAAGACGGAAGCGTGAACATAATGAGCCACACCTTGCGCCTCCAGTGACTGACAAGAAAACACACTGGGTCATTTTTCCGGTCTCATACATAAAACGTCCGCAGACGTTTTACACAGCAGCACTGTCAAGGGCTGCCTTCCCTGTCGCTCTTCCAGGCTGAGATGTCCCGCGTGGACCCCGTCTACTACGCCCTTCCCGTGACCATCGCAGCTAGCACGTCCTTGATGATGCCGGCATCAAATCTGGCCATCACAGTTGTTATATCCTACGCCGATATCACCGTTTCCGACTTGGTAAAGTATTAAAAAACAGGTTGAAAAAATTTAAAGATACGATTTTCCACATTAGAGAGTGCTTAATTACGAGATTGAACTCGAAACAGCGAAAGTTGTCTAATTAGTCCTGTTTTCGTCATTCTGGTTGTTTTTCGTTTATTTTCATAATAAGACATATTAGCGACGGTGTTTTCGCGGAACCACCTTGCAGGCGCTCTCCCGTAATGTAGCGAGTATGATTCGAGGAAATGACACACTAGGCAATCGCAAATAGTGGTTGTGTTAGTTCGCATCTGTGCCGATTAATATGTCCTAATTTATTAGTAAAACAGGTGCATGACAATAATAACCCCTGGAGAATGAGAACAGTGGGACAAAGAACAAACATAAATCTCCAAACACAGCTAGGTGACTTGTACGCGACCGAAAAAATCCGCCTGGTCTTGGTATCGAACCAGGAACCTCTCCATTTCCAGTGCAGCGCTCTACTAACTAAGGTAACCCGGAGTTAGACGTCAGTAGAGCAAACAAGTTTTACCAGCTGTAACCAGTCTAATACCAACAAGGGAGAACGATCTACATTTTTGAAGGTTATGATGATAATGCCATCAAAAGCTAAAATGCAAGCAACCTCGACAAGAATACCGAAAATAATCCATGGCGAAAAAGGAACAAGGAGGACAAAGGACAAAAAACACAAATCTCCAAACATAGCTAGGTGACTGTTGCGCCACTGAAACAATTCGCCTGGTCCTGGTATCGAACCCGGGACCTCTCCATTTTTTGTGGATGTCATTCATATGGTATACCATGCAAACGAAGTAGAAGTTACTGATGTTCTATTGCAATGACGTTTTTACTGTCCCATGCAGAATATGTGACAAATGAGTTTGTCACCTCTCGGGTTCTGCCTAAAGCAAAGCACGGCATACTCCAGTAACTTAAATTGCCGGGCATGGCCCGACTAATTAAAGCATGAGAATAATAATCTCCGCAGAAACGAAGTAAAGGAGACAAAGGACAAACACACATTTCCAAACACAGCTAGGTGACTGGTGCGGGACAGAAAAAATCCGCCTGGTCCTGGTATCGAACCAGGGACCTCTTCATTTCCAGTGGAGCGCTCTACGAACTGAGCTAACCAGGCGTTGGACGTCAGTAGAGCAAACGGGTTTAATCCCGTTTGCTCCACTGACGTCTGGAGAGGTTTCTGATTCGATACCAGGACCAGGCGGATTATTTCGGCAGCGAACCAGTGACCTAACTGTGTTTGGAGATTTGTGTTTGTCCTTTGTCCCTTTCTCCGAGGATTACTATTGTCTCCGGGGATTACTATTGTCATTCTTGTCCAGCTCGCTTGCATCTTTGTATTAGTTATATTGAGGCAATTGGTGAATTCATTTTCTCCAGATTTCGGTAAGGACTGCTCTTAAACTCAAGAGCTCTCGCGGAAAAGTTCACCACAGATTTTACACAAATATTGATGTTACCAAAACAAGCTGGCAAAAACGGTCAAAATCCATACCAGGCGTATCCCTCATTTTTGAGATGTCACCGACTTCAGATCTTACAGGTTTGCAGCTGTTCATTATGCTTCGCGTCGACCGGGTGAATAAGCAGGGATTCAGTTGAAAGGACTTCGGAAACCAACCAATTGTTTTAGAAAATACTTTTTTTATTAGTTTCCGAATTTCAGAAGGTAATCAACTTGAAAGTAATAAGGGACCAGCCCTAACATAACGCAGTGGAACCAACAAGGTACGCGAAGTCTGCTTTTACTGGAGTCTTTAATACACGCGAGCGGGGCTCGAGTTTGAATTGCACATTTTCAACATGATAAAACCATTCCTTCAAAGGTTTCATCTCACTTAGATAATAGTAAACCTACACCCTGTTCAGCGAGAAAGGTTTGTATTGGGGTACTGTGCTGGGTATTCTATTTTTATTATTCAGCTCTTTAGTTGTGGGTTAGCGAATAGTTAACCACAATCCTGGCGCTTGATACTTCAGTAACCAAAGTGTTTGCTTATCGCGACTACGCGTGCAACTACTTCAAGTATGATGAAATGTCATACAGAAGTGTCACCCCACTTAATTAACACAACCCATGAAACCGGTTATGTCAAGCGACTGAAACACCGAATGAACCGAGCTGACAAGCAGAGGAATCTGAGCTCAGTCTCTCCTACCCGCGACGTCAAAAACGATGATGATGATAGCAAGAGAAATACTCCTCGTATTACTAGTATTTCGCGCACACCACAGTGTAATACTTCGAGGGCTCGCTCTCATATCAGCCGAACCAATTGGCACCTGCGCATAACGAGGGTTTATACTTTCACCAAAGATATATTTTAGTACTGTATTTTACTCTGTAAAAGTTCAAGCCAGATCCAGAGTGTCCAACCGGATCCAAATTGAATCGAACCGTTATTTTTAGTCGAAACGAAACAGAGCAGAGCCGAAATCGTCGCCGCTATCTTGGAACTGAACCGAAACTGCACCGCAAAAAAAAAACTTTAACGCTAACCGGTTAAAAGCGGTTCACCCAAATATTTTAACAGCGGCAGCTGTTAGTGGCCAGTCCCCCGGTTTCGCGGCGGCGTGAACGTAAAGGAAAATAAACAGTTTCCCCGCTAAATTCGACGGTAAAATTAATGTTACAGTGACCTGACGTCACGAGACATACAAACGAATTTAGGTTCCGCGCTAAATTTAGCAGAAATATTTACGTCACGTGACATTTAAAAACTGAATGTTTCAAATTACAAAAAAAATAATAACAGCAGTATTTCTACATCTTTTGGAAAATTGCCGTATACAAGATTGCAATTGATTTATTTCGTTAGTTTGTAGATACTGCTGTCCAACTTTTGAAAGCCAAAGCATGATGTAGGTAGAACAGTAAAAGAGTGAGGAAAGCCAATAAATACGCATGAATATTAAATAAAACGGGTAAACACTTTAGTCCTTGGAGTCCTTTCTGAGTCCTTTAATCTATTAGAAACGCTGTAAATTCTAGAACATTTATAATGTGGTTCAAGATGAAATGTACAAAAGCCTTACTACATGTACTCAACAACGACACCGGTGTATAATTGCGTTCTTTTTGTCTCCACTCTCATATATAGGCACTAATTTGACTACTTTCTAATCATCACCCGTTTTTGTTTGTTTTAACTCCAAGAGCAGGCCATGTAAAGAAACTTAGAACAGCATGCGGCATACATTTTTTTAAGAAAGCGTTAGGAATTTCGATCTAACTGAAATGTTCAATGTATATCTGCAGAAGCAACGTCCCACGTGACTAGACACAATAGCGCTGTTGTCACCGCGGCGTTAGGTGACGACACAACTTCGACGTGTGTGTCGAGATCTATCATGAAGACCTCGAACGTATTCGCCACATATCAACCAGGCAGGCGGCATTAACCATTTGTTCAAGATATGGAGCTTTCCAGTCAGTCTCGCGGGTGCGGTGACTAAGCAAATATTATAGCGCATGACTGATGAAGGACAGAGCTGTAAACCGAAGGCCCAGATGCACGTGCACATGAGACCGAAAATAGCACGAGCCTGACGGCAGTATTTGGCAAACTTTCTAGCTGATGCTGATGCCTAAGTGTGATCTATGTTGGGAATGTCATTGCATCTCCGTGTACTTCTCTTTGCAGTAAGGAGTCTCGCAGTATTGGATTTTTTTCAAAGAATTATGCATTTCGTGTATTTGCCTTCAAATCTTACATGTGAAGTGGACACATCATTCGTCTATACGTTCCTTATGAACTGGGTTGGGCAGTATCGCGATACAAATGTATCGCGATAGTATTTCAGAAATACATTTCGTATCTGTATTTATGTATTGCAATACATTTCTTTTTTTTTTATCAGTATCTGTATTCCTGTATCGAAACACATTTGGAATGTTTCTTTGTATCGCAATACAATCAGGATGAAATGTATTTCATTACATTTCTTAAGAATACCCCCCCACACACACACAAACACACACACACACACACACACGCGCGCGCGCACGCACGCACGCACGCACGCACGCACACAGACACACACACACACACCAAAAAAAGAAATCCGAACGCCTCTTTCATTTTTGAGGTAACCAGGGTCAAGGAGATGCTGGGCATTATTACTCTGCTGAACAAGGTTCCTTCCGATTTTCGGAACTATTTTTCTATGCGTCCTCTTCTCTCTTCTGAGGAGTGTTGCGTATTGCGTAGGTGTGGAGCGAAGCATCTTCTGCTGCAGGTCCCTAGTTGGGACTTAACGAGGCATTGTTTGCTGGCAGCCAATGCCCGCTGCTAACCGTTTATGTTGCCTTAGCGTACACAGTACACCCAACCGGCAAAGCTGAGTCACAGACCGTTGCAGCACTAACCTGGCGGTGGTGGACTTGAAATAGTAGGATGACTTACGTAGCGAAGTTCAACACATATCCGAATGCGTCTGCACACATAATATTGCACGGCTCAAGGGTAAGTCATCAGTTGACGTGAACGCGACCCGCTGCTCGGGTGATCCGATACCCAGGAAGGAGGCCAGATGTGGCCTTGCTGTGGCGACCCAAACTTGGTACACCTGCAGGCTGCAACTCATCTCGAGAGCACTGTTTCTCAGAGAGCTCGCACCTGTGCTGGAAATCTCAGGTCGCAATCCACGAGACGAGGGCCTGTGTTTGGATGTTGCTAGGTGAAACTAGAGGACTGCCATTCATGCATCGTAGCGTCGGTGGGTCGGCAGGAAGGACCGCTACAGCGATACCGCTGTATTGTTCTTTCAACCGTAACAGAAGATAACATATGTATTCCATTTCTACTATTCTCGAAAATTCAAAATGCAACTGCCTGCACAATCTTCAACTAGGTCACCTACAATGAAAGTATGTATTGTCCTTTCATACAAGAACGTGGATAAAATTTCATGTGCAAGGCCACACCTACAAATACAAGAATACGAGTTCATTCCGCCGTGACATCATGTGATCACTTTTGACAGGGGCAGTACCGTGGTGACGTTTTGTTGGGATTTAGGGTGACATGGAGCTTATTTAGAGCTTTAGGTCTTTTCGCCTCACTCATCAGACAGACAGGATGTCAGGGAAGGGACTGCATCCAATCCTTGATTGAATGTTTTTTGAGCCCATTGAAGATTCCTCTTCGTCCAGAACCGCAACATTCTAGGCGAACTGTTAAGCTTGCGGGAAAGTATTTTCGGGATATAAAACTTCCACTTCAAACTTCAAGCTTCATCTCAGTTGTCGTCTCAAACAAATTTGAAAAATATAATAACAGTGAGAGCGCAGGCGAGCTGGTGTAGCATGGCCATTTCTTTAAATTACCCGAGACTGAGGAGAGAAAACGAAGCACCAAAACTTGGAAGAACTTTGCCTTTCTATTTCACCGTTTTGATGCTTCATAGTTTTCTCGCCCCAGTCTCGGGTAATTTAAAAAAAAAATTGAAAAATGTATTGCAATATCAGTATTTCAGTATTTGTGTTTCTGCCCTCCCTACAATATATTCCTGTATTTGTATTTCCAAATACATCTTCGACTATTTCTGCCCCACCCTGATTGTGAAACGGTGTTTCACAGACCCAAAAAAGAAACATTGAAGCATGTTTCCGCAAACCGCGTCTACCGCTGCCATATTTTTATGTAGCATCTTACCGTGTCGCTGTCCAGCGGTGATGTGAACTTCGCACTGTCAAATTTTGGTAACGGTAAAAATGTACTAAATTCCTGGCCGAACATTTACCTACTTCAACAAAGATTCTATCTCATTATTAAAAATATTTGTTCGTAAGTGAATCTATTCCCCTGTACTGAAAAATTTCACTAAATATTTTTCGTAGTTCCCACGAAGAATGAAAACACTGAAATGGATGCATACGAAACATACTAGTTTTAGGATGTTTCGTATGCATTAGCAGGAACACTCGGTTTATTTGGCATGCTTACGCTTACACAAAAACAAAAGTGTTCGAGGATCTTAGTGATTTCATCATATTGCTTTTTCCCTGTAACTATTGACTTATTCGAATACTTTATATGTTTGATCAAAAGACTCCATTTAGTTTTTACGTCGAAGAAATAGTTTTGTTTGCACGTTCTGATCAAATCTTTTTATAATCGATGCGCTCTTCATGTAAATTTTTAAACAGTGAAATTTTATAGTAGAAAAGTAGAAAGTAAGCTTTCTCTATGAAATAACAAAAGCATTTAAATGTTACATAAACGCACATAAAAGCATATATTATATCTCCGATATTATTTGGTATACATCTAGTGTGTATGCTCAACGCTGTGCTGTTGCAAATAAATAATTTCTCCTAAACTAGACTGTTTCTCCTTTTTTTCCAGCTATTACCGGGACTGATGATAAAATGCTTCACTATTACGGCGGTTCTGCTCGCGATGAATACCATTGGACAACTGGTTTTTCACTTCTCGCATTTTCCCGAACATCTCAAGGCACTTGGTCGAAATGGGAGCACTGCGTCTGGCCCAACCATCTCCAATATAAATACATTATAGTGCGATGTGATAATGAAATGTCGCTCGGCCGACGATATGGTATTTTCATTCCAGCTAAGTTAGTCGTAATAGCGTCGGCCGATACAGAAATATAAAAAAACGACGTCTTGCCATGGTGCCTAATGCAAACTTAGTAATAATAGATGCAAAAACATGAAAATAAACTATGTCATTTCAAGCGACCCATCAAAGGTATGTCCGGATTTCAAGAAAACTTACATGCCACGAAACACAGCTGTTTGTCATTAACTCAGTCACACGTTTTTGTTTTGTTTTGTTTTCTTTTATTTAGGTTTTTTTTATAATGCTGTTTGTTCCTTCCAATATGAGCCTGAGAACAAAAAAGGTAATAGGGGATTTTGCCTTACTAGTAGAGGGGTGAAAATAGAGGTTCAAGTCGAATAGCGCCACATTATTTACAGCCTTTACAGTGCAAAGTAAAGCAACGACGTAGCGGCTCTCTTTGTAGTGTTGAGCCACATGCATGACACTACTCTATTCAGTTCGAAGCAATATTCCTACACTACTACTTTTAGTCATCACATTATAGAGGCCGTTTTTTCATGACCGCCGCCATCTCATTTGTGACGTATACGGGCGTAGGAACAAAAGATAGATATTTACTTGCGATGTATAGCCGATATAAAGCGTAGTAACAAAGTGTTACAGCCCCACGTTCTTATTTTGATGCCATCTTTTTTTTTTAACATGACGTACACGTGACGTATTTCATGTGGACAAGGAACCTATAAAAAAAAAGACTTAGCGTCAAGTTTTTGGGGAGCGTTTTCAAGGCTATAGGGTAGCTTCCAGGGTGTTGCAGCTCAGCACTGCTTCGAGAGGGCACGTGGCTTCGTATTGCGTCTTATTCACACGCACTCTCGTGCGAAAGAGATGCCAAAACGAATCAACGCGCCCGCGCAAGTAGCTTTAACTGAGTCACACAAGATAGTTGACACCGAGCAGTGTTCCAAGAAAATTCGCCACTGTTAGCGATGGTGGTATTGCGGTGTGTCAATCGCGGGCTCCCTAGGCCCTGGATGATCGGCTTCGGAATGAATGTGCTCGCTTACACTTTTCTTACGTGGTAGTTTAAGGTAAGTCTCCTATATCGCTCGTATTTCACAAAATTAGAATTACTTACGCGTCGCAGACCCAACGCCATACTGCCATTCTACTGCAGTGTACTCGAATCATACCTCGGCATTCTCACTCATGGGTGCGATGACTCACGATCACTCACGCTCCCCGTCAGATTTGAGCTGATCGTGAGTGAGGTCGTGAGTCTCGAAAAACGCTGAGTGTGAGTGAGTGCGATCGGGAGTTATGTGAACTCATGAATGTGAGTGCGAGTCCTGAGAACTCATGAGCGTGAGTCTGATCGTGAGTGTGATCGCGAGTTCTGAGAACTCGTGAATGTGAGTGTGAGTTTGATCGTGAGTGTGATCGTGAGTTCTGGAAACTCTTCAGTGTGAGTGTGAGCTTGAGCTCTAAGTGAAGTACTCATGACCGTGAGCTTTGAGATCTCTTGAGTGTGATTGTGAGTTTCGAGGCTCATGAGCATAAGCCTGAATCAAGACACGAGTCTTAGGGTGGATATGAGTCCGGTGATTGCATTACTCTGCGTGTTGAGGTGAGTCTGATGACCATGGCCATGATGAGTCGCGGTGAGCGCTGGTATTATTTTAGCTGGGTTGGTCTTGTGAGCTCCCGGGTCGTCTTAGTGGGCGAGGAGACTCTCGCATCGCAGCTATTGCGTGGGGTTCAGGTTGGCTTGGGTGTGGCTCGCCTGCTCCTTCGCCATGTAAACGCGCTGGTTCCTTTGGAGGGCCGAGGGCGGAGGAGGAGGGAGGGGGGGAGTGCTTGCTCTTGCAGGCTCCTCCTTGCCAGCGCCCTCCGCAATGTCTCAACCAGCTGTGGAGAGCAGCGGGGGTATGGGGGGGGGGGGGGGGGGGTTCGCTTTTGTCGCTCTCGGTGTTCGCTCTTCGCTTCCCGGCAGACGGCGAGATGCCATTGGACTGATGGCGCCTCGAGGCGGCGCGGTAACGTCGGGGTTGGGGAAGCGCTCCAAACGGTTAGCGCTCCTCTCTCTGTGGCTAAGAAAGGCTCGTGTGGATTTCGGCTCCTCTTGCCAAGTTGGTGCCGGTGGGCATAGAATTTTATGCTTACGTCTACTATAACGTTCGCACGGCTGCGATAAAATTAAATGACTCCCATGATCCTCCTCAGCACCCAGTCGCACAAACAATTTTATTTTTTCCGCACATCACCGTTCCTTTCACAAACAAGTCATCACTCAGGAAGTGCAACAAAGGCAGTGTCATGATCGATCGAAGCTTCGAGTGAAATCGTTCACATTGTGTGATATACCGCTTGTACGTGTCGTTCGGGGCAAGATGGCGCAAGTGCATGATAGCCAGCCGGCAATGGCCAGGCGGCGCCACGAGAGCGCTGCATTCAGCGCCACAAGCGGAGGTGTCTCTGTCAATGGGCAGGCCAGTCTGCCTGTCGGGCCGTGGCGAGCGGCGGCGACCCCGATTTCAGCAGTGCACGTGCGCGCCATGTCCCTGGTTTTTTTATGCGGTTTTTTAAGACCACCAGAAGCCTTGATAGGTCGAAGAGTTTAGAGCATACTCTAGAGTTGTCATTTGGACACCAGTTTGAGTTGCCTTCACCACTTGTGGGGTCGCTCTATAATAGTCGCCGCCCGATCGGTCTGTGATTCGCTCGTCTCCCAGGAAGTCACACAACCCAACGAGAAGGCAGCGAATGGGTTTACTGTACTTCCCTGTTGCCCGTCTTCGAGAGCCGGCAGGATGCGGACCCGCCGACCCTAGTTGTCGCCCGTCGTTCATAGCTCGCAGTCGCAGTCGGTGTCCACGCCTGCGGATCGTCCTTCCCACACCAACACTGCGCAGACTAGCTGTTCCAGGCTATCACAGCCTGAGTTTCGCTGCGGAACCACTCCTGGATCGTCATAGCCCAGGACGGTCAGGCCAGGGCTCGCCGTTTCCGCCGGTCCCGATCCGAACCTCGCTGGTGGAATGCTCCGGGGATCGCCATGGGCCAGACCCGCCAGAACGGCTCTATCGTTCCTGCCCGGCCCCAGCCTCGTGCAGCCCGCTCTTCCTCTTTCCTCGCCGGCTGGCCCCCTCGCGCCTCGCTCGACCGTCCTCTTTTTCTCCCGACGCCCCTACGACACTAGAATAAAATGTGGGTAATTAGATCCAAACTCTGTGTGCTAGAGAACAGTGCACTAGCCTGGTGTAAAAAGGCGACAGGCAAAAAAGTATACGTAGAGAAGGATATTTAAGCTTTGCATGACCTTTTTCTGAAGAAAAACTTTTGCACCCTGTTTTCTGCACGCCATCAGATTTGTTACTAGACTCAGCATTAAATTTGGTAGCCGAAACAAACAAAAATTTGTTCTACGAAAATCCACTATTTGAAAACTCGCAGGTTTGGAAGGTTTCGGCTGCTACCGCACGTGCGAAACGGCGCGCGCGGTCGCAACTAAATGCACGCCTAAAACTACGAGTGCCGAAACGGGTCGACGGGCATCTCGCTTGAAAGAAAGCCTGATCGCCTGATTCTCGACGTCAAAGCGAAGCCAAAAATCGGCCCGATGTTTCCTACTGTATTTCTCAATATGGCTGTCTCAGAGACTTGTAAAACAACTTGTATAAATATGCTATTTTGCCGAGTAGTCTGCAAAACAATTTGGTCAGACCACTTTTCAAGCCTGCACATTTATTTTCGTTCACTTCAACGATTAATGTAAACTTCACTTACTTGAGGTGTCGCACAGCAGTAATCCGCATTGTCGCCGTGTCGCTTCCCAAGATCTTGAAGGGGAGCGGTAAAGATTGACGGATCCAGAAACCCAAACGGAGTTCTGGATCCGCCCCTGGTCTCCCTCGATGGGTTCGTAGAATTCGCCGTGTGCCTTCTTACACTGAGATGTAAAGGACGGCGGCGCGCGGCGCCGCAACGTCGAGGCGCCTACCCCACGGCCACGGCGGGTTGCCGGCGCACCCGCGCGCCGGCTGGACGCGACGCTGAGGCGCCAATAGCCCGGGCTTCTCGTGCTTCGTGCATGACGCTGTGCTCCCCTTGACTGTTGTTTACTCATGTTTCGTTTTTACGTTTTATGATTAAATGCATAGGTACTCAGAGTGAGGCAAGAATTTGTAGTAAAACAAAAATAATATATTTGATAACCACATTTCTGCAATTCAATTCTGAAACACTTCTTATCGGTGGAAGGCTTATGACACATAGCACGATGATTCAAGCCCGTAATGAAATTTTACAATGGTGTAGCAGAGGGCAAGATTGATCAGGGGGTCGTTGAAGTGCGCTACTGCGTTGAATGAATACCTGTTAACCGAGTGACAGAGAATCTGCTTCGAACCGATGGTTACAGAAACGCCGCGAGTTTGATAATTATGTAACATAAATTATAATATTTCTTGTGAATGTGCGACTAAATGACTAGATAAACCGCTTGTCATTATTTCCGCTAGTTATGAAAAAAAAATAACATTCAACTTCAACTTCCCGAATGTGCTGCTAATTTCCGGGAACTAAATGTGCGAAATAATGCTAAATATTTCATTTGAAAACATCGCCCAATTCAATTTTGATATGGGCGGATAGTGTGCCCGCATGAGGTGTTGCGGTAACAAAGCTGTGACACTTCAGGTGATGCAAGCACGCACACTGAAGACACCTTCGATGTTTTACTTCACGAATGGAATATGCTTCAGGCAATGTTGAAAAAGTCATAACCTGTACTGACGCTTGTGTGCCGAACAAATCATTTTAGACCCCGCTAGTATTCGTACCCGTGGCGACACCTCAAAAAGGCGGGAAGACCGATTTTCCGTGACGTTCAAGCGTAGCATCAGAGTAGGCTCGTAAAGGCCGGTTCCCACATCTGCGTTCCGAGCTACAGGAACGACAGAAACGACAAAACACCGGGACAACCGTGACACATG